GGCTTAGAAACTAGAAGAAACAAAATGAATTGTACTGTCTGTCCTTTTCAGTATGGACAGTAGAGTTCCAAAGTAAATCTCCTGAACTTCTTCTAATCTTTTTACACCTATTTCCTGTGTTTATTCTACTGCTAGCAGCTGAAGTAGAAACCTGACAAATATAAAGCATTGAACTTTCCCAAATTTTCCCTGCTTTGAAATCACAGTAGGATTTATCAACTTTTTGACAGTATAATGGTTACAACAACAATTGTCTAAAGTATTATAAAATGTTTATGTTATGACTTTGTAAAAAGTCTGGGCCGATCCAATAAGTCGATAAGTGGAAATATCCTATAGGAAATATTTGAGTTGCGGATTCGAGAACACATTGGGGTAGAATTTACCGGCTTCTTTACAGTACAGTGGTTGCAACAAGAATTGTCTAAAGTACTTTATAAAACTGTAAGAAAATATTTATGATATGGCTCTGTACAAAGTAATATCCAATCCAATAAACTTGGGTGGTCAGGATTTATGGACATATAGATGTGAAAGGGCTTATGAACATCCTGTTTCCTATTTTACCATGTTTAAACAGTAACAAATAAATATGAAGTTTTCAATATTTTGTAAGGTACAGTGAGGTTTCAGTTACCATATATTACATATATGTGTGTGTGTGTGTGTGTGTATATATGTATATATTATTACTATTTACAAATAAATATATAAATTATTTTTCTTAAAACATAGAAAAGTATATAAAAAATATTTGGAAAACAATGATCTCCACTACTTACAATGTTTTGAAGTTCTTTTTTTACACTTGTGAGTCATACCTGCTAACCTTTGTCATAAGCCTTGTCCAAATTCACATAATTTTTGTAGACTTTATATATGCATTTTTGAATATCAAAAAATTATAACTATACCAATACCACAATAATCTATTGTAATTTACCAGACTTCCTAACTATGCTGTATTTGGGTCTAAAAAAATTTAATTTATATTTGGAAAATAGCATTGATATTTCTAATTCTCTAACAATATAAGTATTTTGCTCATAAGTAAAATAGAAAGACTAACAGAATTATGTAGAGCAAATTTAGAGCTTTCAATTGGCTATAAACTTATAGGTATTGAAAAGCAGACATAGATAAACAAGTCTTTTCAAATGATAAAGTGGTTGGTGGAGCCAATATTGTGGATTCGATAAATATCATGATGTCTCAGAAGACAGAAAGGGTAAGAGGTTCTTATTTTATACTCTAGCTTGCCAATATCAGAAATTTGAGTTTATAGTTTGTATGAAACGACAGACGTTGTATTGTGGCCACCAGAAAATGTAATCTGACGAAACCCAAAAGATGATGTACCAGTTTGACACACAAAAATTGATATTTAGCAATTGTTTATGTATATTTACTTTTAAATTAGAAAAGTAACTACAATTTGATACCAAGTTTATTGACATACATTCATAAAATAGTAGTTCAATAGAATTTTGAATGTAAGTCTTCAATGTGATGGAATGCCCTCTGACCCCTAGCTACCTTTTTCGATAGGGTTAATCTTATTTGTTTACAGAGCCATGAACTAGAAAATCAGACATATTTGTCATGCTCACCTGTCACATCCTCTTTTTCATAGATTGCCAAATAGCTCTCTGACATTTTATACTATATTATTTATAACCAATAGAGAACAAAAGTTTTAAACTATCAAATGATGCAATATATTACATTGTTTATGTATAACTAATTGTTAATCTCACCTTATGTTCTAAGAGTTTTCTTACAGGATTCATATTGACAAGTTTAGCTGAATTTTTGATGTATATTAGTTATAGAATGCTTTTTGCTTATTAGTATTCTGTGTCCTTAGGTGCATTATTTAATGAAATAAAAAAAATTTAGTGTAGTAGTAGTAGTACCATTAGTATAAAAAGTAGGTTAAAGTTTCATCAACAGTCAATAGCAAAAAACAAGAGTTCAAAGTAGGTACTGTATTTCTTGTGTATTCTTTATTTATCATTATAAAAGTAACTAAAACGTAAAAATTAGGAACTTATTAGGTTAGATTGCATAAGATAATGAAACATAATAACAACACAAATTATTCACAAAGTATGCGTATTCTTGTGAGCAGCTCGTGCATTGCACATTTCAATATGGTAATGTTAGCTACACATTCACAAAATTTACACATTTACAACTTGTGTGGCAGGATTGTTAGTTAGACATGTTTCAAAGGGCAATAAAACAATAAAATTAAGTATAAACAATTGTGGTTTTCTGTTACAACTTGTTGTCATTCTATAAAGAAAAATGGACCAATTTAGATTTCATAATTTTTTAGGTGGTTACAAGGTCGGTCAAATTGACCGATTCCATATAGAGTAAAGGCAGAAAAAATAATGCCTACAATATAAAGTATTTCTGAAAAGAAAAAACATTTGATATTTATTTTGGAGGTTTCAGAGATTAAGTACAGGAAATTTTAAAATTTTCAGAAGAAGAAAAAGTATTTTTCATCTTAAAATGAAAATTACTTTCACTTGGAGCAGTCAACACTCACTCTATATATCCAAAGGCAAATTTTTAATAAAAAATACCCCAATTCTGATTTTTTTGTCTACAAGAGGTTTGTAATGTTTACTAAAAGCTAGAAAAATTTCATGAAGATACATAATACAGCTTAAAAATAATAGTATGGAAACTCTGATGGTCACTTTGGCGTCACATGATTGGCGTAATCCAACAAGTCTGTAGTGAGAGGGTTAAACTGTCTAAATATTTAAAACAAAATTTCCTGAGTACTCAAACACAACAAACAGTTTGCTAAAAATGATACAAAAAAATCAGGTTCTACAAAACATGATGCAAGTTTCCATGACTAAAGAAGTAAAAAAACTGCTCAAGGATTTGGATTTATTTTTTAACCCTATGACTACTAATTGTTTAGTAGGTAACATCGCTCACTTCATATTTCATTCCAAAAATAAAACTAGTGGACGAAATTGTTTAACATTTAACAATAATGTTCCTAAAAGTATGTAGTTTCAGATAAATAAAACATATAACTTCGATTTTTTTTCTACTATTTCTAATAAAAAATTCGTTATTTAATGTAGTTATTTGCATAAACACTTTAAATAGCTCACCTGCAATGTGATTTATATGTGAAGTATAAAAATACTGTTTATCTTACATTTCATTTGTATAATCTCTAGAACCTCATAAATGAATATCAAGTTTTTTAACAGTAAATACTTATATTTTATTTTCCATTTTCTCTACTATATCACTAACTATATCTATTATAATCAACATACAGTGCAATGAAATGTTTAAAATTAACAAATGGAAATATGTACACACCTTTCAACTCTTCGTAATTTCAAGTCCATCTTTTCACTCAATAGTCTATTTTTAATTTTCCTTTCAAATTCTTTGTCTATTATTATTTATGCCTATAATCTAACTGATGCCAACAGGACTTTAGAAGGATATTTCGGGACAAGTTGCTGAAACAAGATGGCACTTATACACGCCATCTTGTTTATTACCTTTAAAAATCCAGATGAAAAGTTAAACTTATAAAAATCATTAAAGTGTTCAAGTATGATTTTTAAAAGAAACATAGTACATAATTAACTAAAATATAAAAGTAAGACCTAAATAAAGTTTAACTGTCTTTCTAACTAGAGTATATTTAGGTAAGAAACCACTGTATGTACTATAGTCGATCAAGCAGACAACAACGGAAATAGCTGTTACATGTACACAGTGAGGAAAACTGTTTGCCAATTTCAAATTAACGATGTTAGAGTATAGTGTAAACTGAGCTCTTTCTAGCGACTATATACATGTATGTTGTAGATCTATCTCAAGGCAAAGTATAGAAGGTGGCGTGGCAACTGTTAAGGGTTAGAAAACTGACATATCTGTTTCCCAAACAGACCACTTTGCAGACTTTAATCTCATGTGACAATTAGGTCCAACATATGTAGTTAGTGTGTAGAAATGACTGTACATGCCAATTTGTGTCTAAGAGACAAACAGTGATAAAATCAAGATTTTCAAAGTTTGTGGATCATGTGACATGAAAACTGCAGTTTAAGTATTTTTTAAATGTTTCCTTTGAAACAAAGTAATTAAAACTTAGATAACATGAAAATTCAAATTATACATACAATATAATGTTAATTTCATTTTCGTATATTGATGGTAAAGTGGTTTAATTAAATTTTGAATGTAATGCAGTACCAAACACAGAATGGAATATAAAAATGGGGCCATAGGGTTAAATAGTCTTTAGGATTTATATAAGCAGATGTAGCAAGTTCAGATAAACACTACTTTTTTTGAAGGACTGTTAAGCACAGAAAATGTCTTTATAATGAATTATAAAGGATTTATTAGTAACCCAAAAATGATTTTCTTCTCAGACTCTTCAGTTTATATTTAGGTTGAACAAAAGGAAATGAGAACTTAGAGATATGATTAATTTGTTCAAGGATTTGTTACTTTTAAGGCTGAAGAATGATCTCAACTCACTAATCCAGATATTTTAAAACAAGGTGAATGATTATGACAGAAGTCTCTTAAATTAGTGATGAAATGCTTAATGTGATAAGTTCCCATGTTAATTGGAAGGAAGAAAGTTTTTTCTGAATCTTTCACTTTGGATAATTTTCCAGTCTTACTGTATTAAGAATATTTTTTCATCTGTGTCGTTTTTCCATAACACAATAGAAAATTACCTGACTTTAAAGTACTTTTTCCTGAATAAAATGAGACTAAAGAATACCCATAACTTAATATTTCTAATTTTAACCAGGAATGAGTGAGAATGCAACTTTTAATGCACACACACACACACACATATATATATGTATATATAACAAAAGAGGAGCATGGCTGTGGATTCATCTTGTGATCATGAGAAAAATAAAGAAGATTTACACTTACAGAATATCCTTAGACCATAAACATCTAAATGATAACATACTGACCTTAATTCTTCTTTTGATCTTGAAAAGTGACATAGGTAATTTTATTTCTCTGTAATAATCTGGATAGATTCTGAAAAATAACACAATTAGAAAAGCCTGCAGGAGTAAGTTTATCATAAAGAAATGGAAAATATTTCTTCCATTAAATTTAAAACAAACATTTTTGTGTGTACTATAATTGTTTTTCCATTTTTAAACTTCATAAACTTGAAAAGTGTAATAAAAAATTAAATCACATCTGTAAACTTCTACATTGATATGTTAATATACATTTGCACCTGGGTTTGTGACTTGAGCATTTAGGAATTCAACTATTCTTCCCAGTGTGTTGTTGTGGGAAAATTTTTTTTCACATCAAACAAAATTGTCAATTATTTGTAAGACCACATGGTATCATGACTATGGCAATGAATCAGTTGAAATCTAGGCTTTCTATTGGTTATAAATTAAATGGGAGTCAGCCTCACGAAAAATCTATTGGCAAATTGTAAATTAGATCATGTCAGAGGTAGGCTCTTTAGCCCCATAATAAAAATATAGAATATCAATAATGAAATTACAGAATATGTTTTATGTTACATTTCATAGTTTTCTAGGGGTGGACAAATAAATTCAGAAGAGATGTCTCAAGAACAAATATCCAAATTCTCACAGTACGGAAAGTTGAGTTTGTTTTTCAATATTTCCTTATACAATTAAGAACTTAAAACTTATATAATATTAAAATTTGATTTATTACCTATGGTTTGTTTGTATACTTTGATAATTAAGTAGTTTAATTAAATTTTGAATGTAACTCACTAAAAGGTCGTGACATTCACAGTTTGACCTGCCTGCATACTAAGGGTTAATCCCACACACGCCTACTTAATGTGCAATCAGTCACGTTCTCTTCTAGACCATGGGAGTCACTAGTTTCCCATATTTCTTGCTATTGCCGATTTTCAAGGTGAGATTCACTTATCGGCTGAAGTACGAACTCAAAACTACCAACTCAAACATTTATAATTCTGTGAAAAGCAAACCTGAAATACCAGAGGAGGTGTTCAGTCAAAACTCCAAAGATGGGAAATGTGATAACAGATGTTATTCTCAAAATATGATACACTATAAACCAATACCGGTACTGACTGCAAACCCTAATTTGCACACAGAGCAACAAGTCCCCCATCCCTTTCTGACTAAACCTCATGTACCACCAGCTCAAATGAAATAGCACATAAAGAAATCACAGTAACCTTAACAGTCAAAATGTTATATCATGTTTCCTAAAATCACTTCTTTTAATTTTAGTGTAGAATTATTTAAACTTTCAATATATGTTAAATTAAGATTTATAGTTACTTTTTTTGAATATTTTATTCATAGTGTGAATTGTTTTTAGCTCAAAATTTATACAATTCACTCAATGTGAAGAAATTTTCGTATCCTGAAAACTAAAAACGTTTGTTCTGTTATCTTCCAAAAATTCCTTAGTGTAGACTTTCTAGCATCATATAGCTAATGACAGAATGCTCTGTACGATTGTATCAATGCTATAGTTTATTTACAACATTTATTATATGCATAATTATAAACCAACTGAACCTGCTTTCAGTTACTCTTAGATTCTAATAGTAATGACTGCGCTGCATGCTTTGTGTTTCAAGACAATACTTATATGCAAATCTGTTTGTTTTGAAGCACACTTTAATATAAGTACAGACACAAGGAAGTTACGCTTAAAGATGTAGAAGTACAGTGCAAAGCAAAATATAAAATAGTGAAATAAGGAAAATTTATATCTGTCAAAACAACCAGATTTAGTATGAACATATACAGATTAGAAGATCTTAAAATTACAGAACAAACTACTTTTCTAATGTTACACCAACCTTCTTGGTGGCAGCTTCATGAACGGCTCCGACAGAACAACACCCTGTGGGCTCTGGTAGGTTTTAACAGTTTCATACAGTTGCCACTGAGGGTTGTTGTCTGCATCTTCTGGACCAGAGTCATTTCCTTCATCAACACCATCAATTCCATCTTCACCATCTCCTCCACCAACTGAACTGGCACGGTCATCCATGTCAGATTCATACTGTAAAGCCGCAGTGATTGCTGACCATTTTTGTCCAGCTGGCATTCTTCTGGCCCTTTGAAGAGATCAATATGCATTTTTAATTTATTTATCCTAGATTACCTGTTTGACTATTACATTCATAAAATACACAGCCTACCAATAAGTAAACAGACACCCACTTCAGAAATAATGCCATCTTATCAAATAAACAAAAACGAAACAAATCATATAAGATTACCATTAGTATTTAGTGGATCTGCTCTTTGCAATATTTAAGGCAGAAATAGTAACACATCATATTTAAAAGTTTTGAAATCTGGACCTGTTACATTGAACCCTCACTATCAGTCTAGTACTTTGACATGCTCCTAGCAACTGATTCTTTGGGGCATTTTCACTGGCAATAAGCAGGGATGGACCACAAATGCTCAACAAAGTTCACATGAGAGTAGTTATGCCCCAACTTTTGATTTATTTTGTGATACGTGTAACAGCAGTGACCGTCTCTTCACATACCATTAGCTGCCCAAATGGCACCATATTTGTCATGGCTTGTAATTGGTTGAATGAAAGTTCTTAGTTTCCAAACAGATGCATCCACTGTCTGAAAATTGTACAAGTATGGACTTGTCTGAAAATATTACAGTGTCCTAAAAATTTAGTGTGCCACAATGGTAAAGTAGCTTTCATGTCAACAACATTGGGCCTCACAGATGCTATTACACCTGTTGAAGATAACCTCTGATGGTACTGGTGCTCACTTGCATCTGTTATGCAACAATAGCAGCTGTTTGACTTGTGCTACTCTCCCCACAGCTTAGAGTCTGTTGTTTGCTGAAGTTACTGAACTGTATTGTCTCTCTATTCACTGTTGACAGTGGTACTGCAAATGACCTACAATGTCTCATTCACTTTGACCATCCTCCCATCATCCAACAATGAGATCTCATGAAAATACAGTTGATTCCAAATATCTTTTTCTCTGTGGTATGGCTGTTTACATTCAGTGATCTTAACCAAGCTATATCTGTCAGGACCAGCTCACTTTAATATTTTTTTAGCCAAACTTTCAGCCAACACATTTCTTTTAGCCATACTTGTATATTCATAGCCACAAGATATACCCATCTATATCTTTCTTTTCCCAATAGTAAATATATTATTCTCTCTCCCCCTCCAAATACCAGTCACAAAAGAATAAACTTTTCTTTATTGTATATCAGCCATTGTATTTAGAGTTGTTGTTGTCTTAGTGCAAAGCTATAAAATGGGTCATCACTTTGTCCACCACGAGGAATCTAGCCTCAGATTTTAGCAATGTAAGTCTATTAACTCTTCCAACACGAGGGTCGGTCAATTTGACCGAGTCACGTGACTTTTTGTACTCGTTTAAAGTTCATATAAATTTAATACTTATAACTCTCTCTCTATATTAGGTATATCTTCACAAAATTTGGCAGTCTTTCATTTAATATTACAAGTCCTTCATATACAAAAAGTCATATTTCTTAGTGAAGTATTTCTAATAAGTTATAAATCACTCAGGGAAAGTGCAGCTCACATTACGCTATCAAATTACATTACCCATGAGCTGCTTGCGTGTGTGCTTTGTGAACCATATTA